GGAATGTAATTATGTGCAGACGTGTTAGTTGCAAATTATGGCATTTCGGATTGAAATGACTTCAATCGTACATGTGCCAAATCACTTTATAGTTGTTTTCAATACATATATGCCTGTAGCTTTACCATACTACGTTCAAGACACAACGGATCTCCATAGCTTTTCACACTGATATGCATTTTTTGTTTCACGAGGTAGAAGTACATGTATTTATGATCTTTTAATCTTGATTTCGCGATGCTCGTCGCACGTTGGTGTTGGCGAATTACCACGGTCACCACGTATCTAACGAAAACCAATCTATTTTTGCAGACTGTTTGCGAAATGTGTAGCGACCGAGGCTACAGTGTAGATGTGCGGGATTTAGAAATGAGTATAGTCGATTTTGAAGTGCGCTTCGGAAGCGATCCAGAGTATGTGGTGTTTTTTCATATCTACCACGACAAAGCTCGCTAAAAAAAGTTCTAAATGATAGGATCGAATTTGTCCAGTCAACCGTTTAGCCTGAGGTAGTAGCGGTGCATGCTCGACCTGCTCTTCGATTATAAGTTCGCATGCATGCATAACTGAATATAACCCTTAATAGAGCGAGCCAAATCTGCCGCAGTATAACGTGGCGAATTTTGCCGCAACGTACTGAAGCACCACGACTATTTCATTCATACGCATACATCCTGTAAATTGATATTGAATGCATACATCGAGTCCTCAACACATTAACCGTTGCAGCCCCTCAGAGTTAAACCTCTCAAAGGCCATGCCTAGTCTATCATTAGAATGCCCCACTGAAATGTATATACTGAAAACCATTCGCATATTTGCCATTACAGTCCATTACAAATGGGTACCACATTCACCAAGGTGCTACCCGACGGAGAGGAGGACAGTGTGCTGGTGTCTTTCTGTGGCGTGAAGGTGGGTATTGCACAGGTCAAGGACATAGCTGAGGCCATGGAAGCTGCCAGAGTCAAACGGGCAATCTTTATTTCAAGGTTACCTATGACTCCTTCTGCTAAGACGGTATGCGCGCGTGTATGTATGTATATATGTATGCATGTTTGTGTGTGTATGTATGTAGGTATGTATCAATGTGTATGTATGTGTATTATTTTAAATTGTGTAGCGTTGTGTGTCTGTGTAGACATATATATATGCATAGGCGCGCGCACGTGTGTGTTGGCGTTGTTTGGTGTAATTAACGGAAAGTGTCCGATCCGACGGCGAGTTTGATTTACTGGGCTAGTGCTCGAGATAAGAAGCTACAGAACGAGCGGTGTGAGGATCAGGTCTGCGGTGGCGTGTTTGGCTTGTATAGTATTTGTATTGATTTGAAACAAAACGTACCCATTGGAAACCGGTCGCCCATTCAAATTTTTACGCTCTAGTACGCAATTTCATTCAAATCACATTCATACTACGCAATGGTGGGTTTCTCGATTTTTTTAAGACTTAAGCCATACAACTTCAAAAAGTATATCCGAACTGAATAAGTCACGTTGCTCAACGCACCTACAGGGTATAGAGAAGATTAAAATGACAGGCCGCATGATTGAAGCATTCAGGGAGACTGAACTTCTGTATAATATAGTACAACATGCCGCGGTGCCGAAACACGTGGTGCTGACAAATGCACAGAAGCAGGAAATCAAGAAGAAATAGTATGTAGTCATCCCGGTCACTGACACCAGTTGCTTTCTGCTCGTCTGCTCGATTTGATTGCGTTTATCTCAATTGATCGGCATGTAGTATCTATATATGCCTTATTTAGAATTGCGTTGCGATATTCCGCTGAGAATACAACGGCCACTAGATGTGCCTATCTTCGCCTGGGCATATCTACTTGCACCCAAACTTACAAGTACTGAGTTGGTCACTTCTTTTCATTGCGCAAACAGTAAAATCGTCGACACAGCGTTTCCACGCTTACTGATGAGGGATCCCGTGGCGCGATACTATGGTTGTACTCGTGGACAGGTATTTGCTGCACTACTCTGCTCTTACGCTAGTACTCCTGTACCGAAACCGTTTGCCGATGTTCACGTATATCTGCAAACTAGAACATACCTTGAGTGGTTTCACTTTTGGACCCCGCGAAGGGCAGTTTATAAATCCGTAGAGAATTTCAACGTATGCACTGGATTTGTAATTCTAACTTTCAGTACCTAACACTGCGCCTTATCGCGATTGGTAGCTTGGCCTACTTCGCTGATTTGCAAAATTACTAATCACCTTCTGCACTGACAACGATTTCTACAGGTCCTAAAAATCATCCGCGATAGTCCCATGGCAGGCAAGCAAGTGACGTATAGGATCATTAGCTGATTATATCTATTTTTACTGTTGCAAGATATTCGCGGTCTTGCACCGTGCGCTTGGCGGACTGGTATATAGAGTCAAACTAGCACTCAGCGACAAAAAGGATGTTTTTTGTCATCTCGGTATAATTGCTGGCTGCGGGTTATACGCTGGCGAGTCTTACACACTTACATAGCGAGCATATATATACAGAGACCTTGCAGAGATGTATGCGCTAAGCTATTCTGTCGTAGGTATACATAATTGTGAGCTCATATCGTTGGACTTGAGGTGGTCAGATCGCCGCACTCCTCGGCCAGACACGGGCTGAACTCATCTGGTGAAACCAAACTATGCTGCTGTATGCCACCTAGGCCGATTGGATCGTAAATCTGGCAAAACTTCGCCGCTTCGTGCTCACAATATTTAGATGTACTCTTATGGTCGGAATGAGTAGGCGTCTACAGTGTAGCATAAGAAACCTCCATTCAGAGGTATGGGAAGCGATCTTAATAGCCATTTCATGTACTCTATACCACAACTGTCAGCTATGGATAGGCGAATGCGGCCGTAAGGAGGTTTGTATTCAATCAACTGCTAACTGCTGATGGACAATACGGGGAAGATGGCAGTTCGGATATGTTCCTAGCGGAGAGTTCCACATCGAAAGGAGGGTTGATAAATGAAGCCAATCTGGGGAAAATCTCAGCGGCGAGTTTAAGGTGCCAGTGCAGCGTTCAACAAAATTGGTCGAATGCCAATCGGTTGAGACCAAAACAGTTGAGTCAACTGGAGTGTTTAGAGCCACGTGAGGTTTTATATGAATTGTGCGCTGTTGTAGTTGAGGCAAAACAATTGCTGTTCTAGACGTCAAACACTATGGTAGTCAATGGCCATAGAGGCGGATATTTAGTATCAACAAGATTTAAAGTGTACTTAGCATTAATAAACAAGTATGTCTTTTAGTTGTGCATCCGGTTATTATAGTTCATTTTTCTATCTAGATGAAGAATTTCAAAGGCAATATGATTCCGAAACCCTATCCCGTTCCGAACAGAATCTGCAACCCAGGGTTTCACCACAGAAAAAAGGTTTAATAGAGTGAGGCTAAATTGGGTACATAAAACTCCAAGAAACTAATTCCAGGAAGAGTCAGTATAGCTATCAGCAATATCCGTTGAGTGCCGGAGCGTTTAGGGCTACGCGACGTTTTCCATTAATTTTACGCTGTTGTATAAGACACAAATGCGATTGATGCTCAACACCAGAGCGGGCAATAATACTATAAATGAAATTTGAATCACATTCAGTCTTACTATTGAAAATGCAGTTGTGATTTTTTCTGGGGGTAGACATGACGCTAAGCGACAATCACGTCCACATGAATCGAAGTAGATTAATAGTGATCCCATGAAGCTGTTGTAGGAACTATACCTAACATCAATCAAATATTATCGAGGTTCTTCCACACTGGGGTATTAAAATTTATCAACAGTGACAGTCACTGCTTTGTCCACTGCTTCATGTCCCATGGATGGGGACGCAACCTAAATCAATTTTACCAAGTTTAGGTATATTTCGTTCGACTACCCTCTGCATATGTTCCGAGGAGCATCGTCATTCCTGTGCTGCAATCGAACGCTTCGTCGTTTTGCATAATTTTTTTCGGCGACTACGTTGGAGATGCCTCAAACGGTGCCGGTTATGACCCTATAGTGATATGAGAGGAAATTTCGTATACTTCAGGCGGTATCGCTACAAGCGATCAAGCAGGACGACAATGTTTGGTTCAAAACGACGCCCGCTTCCAAGAAACTTTTCAGTAGTGAACTGCACACATAAACCAAAGACAAGGCGCACAAATCCCACTCACCGGCTGAGCACGAATCCTCAAGCACAGTGATACACCTCCATCCCGAAGAAGTCGTCGGGGTTGCAATGCTCTAAAAGATGTTCAGTTGAGATGTCCAACTGTAATTTGAGAGTATTAAATTTAGTACAGAACAGGGGCTCGACTAATACAAATGACAAAACGTTTAAAAGTGTTAAGTAGACAGGCGCTCATGAAACAAGCATAAATCAATGCACGCCTCGCATTTTTAGCGCTTATATAAAATCCAACATCGGAAGAAGAATGCTTATCTTATACGAAAGCCACTTACATTAAAAGTGCTGGCCAAGTCCGAGTAACTCTCGTGTGACATGTCCACATTCCTGTCCATCAGCAACGTGTCACACGCCTCGCTCATACTTTTTTGACTCTTACTGGTTGTCGCTCCCACACCATCCCCACACACCCCACTGTTTCCACGTGCAGTCTGGGAATCTTCCAGTACTGTGGCTACGCCTCCAACGGACGGAGTATCCGAAGAGCTTTTCGTCATATCTACGTCTCCGGCAGCATCTGCTCCTGTAGTGGGACGTATATCCAGTTCCATGGCTGGTGTATGTTCTAGTGTAGACTCGCTCAGGTCTAGAGTAGCGTGCATGGCCGTATCTACAGGTGCCAAGGCGGCACAGTCCCACGTCGCAAGGGCTGGTTCCTGAGACAACGAACCGCCACTCAATAAATCAGCTGTGGTATCGCCTGCAATGTGCTTAGTGTGCGTTGTATCCGTCACGTTGGTATCAGGTTGCACTAAAGTAGTGAATTCGCTCAAACGCTTTGAATCAGCTATATTGCTCACTAGCGCTGCATGTATGGGCTCTGTCAAACTTCGAGCTAAGACTGTACTGGTGGACCTGGTTGTAATGATATTGGTCTCCGCAGTGTTCCCAAACACGAAAGGCGAGCATATGTCATCAATGCCCACTTGCGATTGGCGGGGGGTCGGGTAGGCGCTTTGGTACGTCCGTCCCTGTGAGCTTGGCGAGGACATCGTTCCTTGCGAAGAACGCTGTCTGGTGAGTGACAAGTTGTCCACCTGCTGCAGGGTATACTGTTGTTTTGCGCGTGCATGAGTTTGTTCGGGTACTTGCGGCTGTATCTGCTCTCGAGCGTCATACTCTTTCGCACTTGCCTGGCCATGGTGTGCCACCCCCTGTTCCAAAGCAGATTGTGCTTCTTGCTGAGGAATGTGAACAGCCGATGCCTGCTGCTGTAACTGGCTCGGATGCCATTGCTGAGGAAATTGACGCTCCTGTTGTTGCTGGTGTTGCTGGTGACGATGTTGTTGATCATCATGATGTTTTTCTAAACGCTGTCCATCTTCATGACATTGCTGTTGAAGCTGTTGTTGTTGTTGCTGATGCCTTTGCTGCTGTTGTTGGTTTTGTTGCTGCCGTAGTTGATGTTGGGTTTGTTGCTGCTGTAGTTGATGTTGGGTTTGTTGCTGCTGTAGTTGATGCTGCTGCTGTTGTTGTCGGGTTTGTTGTTGTAGTCGTTGTTGGTTTTGTTGCTGCTGTCGTTGTTGTTGTTGGGTTTGTTGCTGCTGCTGCTGCTGTTGTTGTTGGGTTTGTTGGGTTTGTTGCTGCTGTTGTTGTCGGGTTTGTTGTTGTTGTTGTTGAGTTTGTTGCTGTCGTTGTTGTTGAGTTTGTTGCTGTTGTTGTAGTAGTAGCTGTTGCTGTTCCTGCGGTCGTGAAGGTTGTTGTACCAGGTGTTCTCGTTGGTGTGGCTGAAAATGCTGCGTTTCACTGCTGGCCTGCTGCGGTTGAGGTCCTGCAATACTCTCTGACAGCGACTGCTCATTCCTCTTGTCAGAATGGTTGTGCATAGCATCATTTAGAGTTTCTAAATACCTACTCAACCTTTGAATTTCATGTCGAACGTCTTTGGCCTTTTGGCGAAGGACATGATAAGTCTCCCCTGCCAATGCCGCTTGTGTTTGTGTGCGAATCGGTTGCTGTGGTACCTGAGGGGTGTCACGCCTGTCACTGTGTGCCTGGCGATTGCCTGCGGCAGACTGGTAGAGTTGTTCCGGCGTCGAGTGTTTAGGTGCAGATATAGTCATTCGTTGACTGCTTTGCTTTGAAGTTAAAAATGGCAACTTCCTGGTTTGTGATTGGCACCGTGCATGTGGCAGAGTCTTGCCAGGATTCGCTTTCACACTATTTCGAGGAGAATTTGTCGCAGTTCCGACCATCACACTCCGAGATGAATCGGCCTTAGTGGTCGCATCTATAGCGGTACCCGCTTCAGTCGGTGTATGAGGATGTGGTAGCGGCCGTGGCTTGATAGGCTGCAGAGCCTGAACAGGTTCCTGCACCCTATAAACACCTCCAGCTTCCTTCACTGCATTGCCAGCATACGCGTGGCGCTGAAGTTGAGCATGGCTGTGCGGTTGGCTCTGTGGCTGAGCACCCAATTGTATGGGTACTGGCGTCTGTGGGTGCGGTGTTCCATAACCAGTGTTTGCAGGGCTTCTCTGAAGACTTCCTTTGCCAGTGGGAACTTTGCAAATGCTGAAATTTCTTCGGATCTGTGTCCCGGATCCCGGTGTCCGCCCTTGGTTCAGAGTGCCCACAGAGGCTGCACGTACCATTGCTACCGGTTTGCGCGTTGGTAGAGATATGGCAGATTTTGTGTGCTTCAACGCTCCCGGCCGATGAGGTGGCGTGTTGAGTGTCAGGGTCGAAGAGTTCTGCACTTGTGCATCGGATTGTTGTTGTTGTTGTTTTTGTTGTTGTTGTTCTATGTGTTGTTGATGCATCTGCTGTTGCTGCTGTAAATCTGGGGCGCTTGATCCGTTGTGCGCCTGTAATGTCTGCTGCTCCCGGATCGGTTGCAGTCTGGATTGTGACTGCCCTTCATGGGCGTGCTGCTGATCCTTTTTTGTATGTTGTGGTTCGATTCCTTCACCTGAAGATTCCTGGGTCTCGATGTTCCAAGAAGACCCACCTTCTGCACCAAGTTGTGCCAGTTTCTGAATCTGAGGTGAGGGCGCTCGGAGTACAGAAGGTGGGTGTAGTGGCACAGAAGATGTGGGTTGCTGCGGTATTCCCGAGGGCGCCTCCGTTTGACTAGTACCAAAGTGTCCCTCAGAAGCATTTGTAATTTGATGATCTTCAGTTATAGTTTGCTCCCGTTGCATCGCATGATGATGCTGTTCAGAAGTAGCTTGTGTTGGTTCTGGGTGAGAGTCCGTCGCGTGTGTGTTATTGTTTGCAAATACGCCGCTATGCACGCCCATGCACGGTTGAATTTTCCGTATGGTGTGAGGATTGACATTTGTGAGATGCTTTTGGTGCTGCGCATGCATTTGTGGCGGTGTATTCACATTTACCATAGGCTTCCCGTGCCTGCTATTCCCGGGAGTGACCTGGGTTCGCCCACTCTTGTTGGTAATAGAAAACTTAATGTTCAATTGTTTCCTTCTGCCTGCACTCTGTGTAGTACTACTAGTAGTATTCACCCTGCCTATCTGTGACAATCCTGCAGGGGTTGTTGCTATCGCATGCTGCACACCCATAGGCAACGGAGTACTTCCAACAGCCTCACCCACACTCGTGCGTGCGTGCTCTACTGCTACTGTCGACGTCGCAGGGACACTCTGACAGCGTGTTATCTTCAATCCCGTTCCAACTACAGGAGAAAATGAAGGCAACGTACTATTCATATAGTTTTGGTTCTGAGGGAGATAACTAAACTTTGACCTCCCTGAAAGCACCCCAATTCCCGGGTTATAGCGTGCTGCCCTGGTTCCTGCCCTAACCCTAGGTATGTCAGATGCCGATACAGCTTGTGTGGCGAAGAGATTGGCTGCTGCAGGACCCATATACGTCGACATCTCGGTGGTCAAGGTGCGTCTCATTGATATCGCCCTATCTGTCACATCGATAGAACTAGGTTGAGCGCTCACCCGAGACTTGGCAGTTCTAGCAGTAGGGGCCGGAGCGATTGATTGAAGCTTCCGAAGCTTTATATTCGGGTAAATACGACTTGATGATATGGTATGCTGGTCAGCACATGGCGTAACACTTAGGTTTTGGGATTGTGGCTCTGGAGAGAAGTTACTCGTCTGCTGTGCATGATGTATTTGACGTGTATCCACTTGATTCGAAGTGAAAGATGGCGAAGGAGCTGTAGTGAGAGCAACACCAGCGCTTACAAGTTGGTCACTATTATTGTAACCGGATGTTTCTACAGAGGCTTCGAGCATTGTATATGCTCAGTTGACTTAGATGTTAGGGTATGGTGTTGTTTTGAGCTGCATTACTATGTTGTTCTATTCATGAACAACCTCGACGAAGGCACAGAGTTCTCAGTGTAAATCGAATTTACATTATTTTTTATACACACAATAAATACACACAGGGGTACTTAAAAATTAATACCATCCCGCTATTCAGCTCGGATTTTGGTTATCGAATTGATCAATTCGCAATTCTGCACCCATTCTGAAACTGTGGTGGACAATATTCACCATTTGAAGTTGGACCTGTCGTCTACTAAATACTCTCGTCTCAGCTAGTTCTACTGCACGACGCCCGGGACTTGACACTTAAAAACAAAGACACGCTACTCTACTAGTAGGGGCCACAACTAGTAGGGCCCACAGTGGCACAGTCCCACATTCCGCGACTTCCCAGGACTTTTGCGAGACAAAAAAAAAAGGGACCTGGCCCTCATTTGTTAAGAACCATGAAGGACTACAGATACAAGCCCACAAGAAGGTGAGAAGGGTCCCGTCACCGGCGTCACCGGCCAGATTCGCCACGCCAAATTTGACAGTAAAATAAAATAAAAATAGTGAACACTATTGCCCGAAATAAACGTGGATACTATTGGTATAGCAGAATCGGGCGGCATTTCAGGAGCATTTGTCAGAAATTTCTGAATTCCGACGGAAATGCTGATTCCCGGGCTTCGGAAATTTGGCCACAGATTTTTAATATAGCAGTATAGAGCGCGTGGGCCGTTACAGCGTCACTGATGAGTCACAGGGTTTTACGGTTTTATTTTTTCTTCTGATTAGCATAGCATAATTTAGTTTTCTCGGCCTGCCAACGCTTCTACGCACGCTGAAGAAAGCATAGAGTTTTCCCTGCTTTGTACCCTTGAGTTGTTAATAACAATACCACGGCAGAAGCGCGAAAGCTTCACAATTGACCTTGACGTGTGAATCGTATATAGTCCAATTGCACCATGACTTTCAGTAAGTTGACGCTTGCTCTTGTAGCATATGTTGTAATTCTATCAATCAATGTATCAGCGGCGGACGTAGGCGACAAAAACAGGATACTAGTCGCCTCTGATGAGGAATTGAGCAGCAACAACATTCTTCTGGTATGTATGAGAGTGTGGTGTTCCAACTGTATGTGTGTATAGACACGGATCAATATATATACAACTATACTTGCAAGTATGCACGAGATGCATAGCTATATTCAAAATCATTTTCTACAGGCTTTAATTTCACGAATACGCAACATGTTTTGAATATAAAAAGATAGATATGCAGAGAGTACTTTGATAGCCTTTTGTATGAAGGCAAGTTTTAAGCATAAAGTGTTATATAGCTACATTCGCTTTCTAAATTTACGCACGCTTATGTAGTGTCAGTAACTGGTAGTACGGATTTGTCAACTATCACTGACTTGTCTGCTCACGCTAACAATCAGTTTGAAGTATACTTATGTTTTTGTTTTCACATATTCTATAAAAAATAGGCACTACTCTGCAGTAGATATATATATACATATATATATATATATATATATATATATATATATATACACACACACACACACACATATATATATATACACACACA